ATAGGCATGTCGATCACTCAAATTTCATATTAAAAATTTTACCCAGTGATCTGCGTGACAAATCGTGTAACTGATACCTATTTAACTATAGCATTTTATTTGAGCCAAAGTGTAATTTTTTTGAAAATTTAATTAATTATTTGCTAGTTAATCAAAAAATGATCTTAGTATAACATAATGCGGATTCTATATATAAATTAGAATTTTGCAAATATGATATACTTGTACGTACGTGTGAGGCCAATATTCCCACAGACCTTTGTGTTTACGTATATTTTCTTCATCATTCCAGTTTGTGTTACCTTTGTGATACCTTCCAAATCAAATCCATGCTTTGGATGTTTGACTTTTATAAATTTTATGAACGAAATATTGATAAAAATTCTGATTCACAATAAAATTTCAGAAAATGAACGAGTCCGATAATTACCAAGAAATAGTTCCTGCTGACATACAAGCCTTGAAAGCTAGTATAACAAAATGCACAGAAACATTTTCTGACTGCATGCAAATAAAGACTAATAATATTATTGTTAAAGATAAAATGAAAGAAATCATTAAAGTTCGTTTGGTTTTTCAAAACTTTGTAGAGAAATCTGTTGACCACTGCACGAAATTATCAGGTTATATTGTAGACTTGGAAGGGGTTGTAGATCTTGTTAATGATAAAACAATTTGCGTAGAAGATTTCATAGATATGATAAAATCATTATCTAATGAAACCAAAGATTATGAAACAATTTCACAAGATTTATTAGGACAAGTCAAGAAATTTTTAGATAAATTTTTGTATATTCATGACGATTTTAAATCTTATATGAATGAAATCAAAGAGGCAATTGATGAGATGAATATTGAATTAAAATATGATAGAAGTAAGTTATATTAGTTTTGCATAACAAATATTGCAAGTGCAATCTGACATTATTTTTTTTAAAAATTAATAATATGGCCGCAAAACAAGCAGATCTAATTGACGTTGCAGCAGAATTAGTAAAATATCAACAAAGTTCAATAAAAAAAAA